TGCGCCCGGGAGAAAGCCAGCGGGAGCCCAGCCCCCGAGGAGCCCGGCGTCCTCGCCCGGCCTGGCCCGGCCCCGCGCTATGGAGCTCCTCTGGGCCCCTCTCCTGGGTCTTTGCTGCAGTCTGGCCGCTGCCGACCGCCACACCGTCTTCTGGAACAGTTCAAACCCCAAGTAAGCACGGAGTCTCCAGCCGACCGCCTCAGGTTAACTGTCCCGACCAGCCCCGACCGGAGTCTTGGGAGGTGACCAGAGGCGGGGGGTGTTCCGTAGGTGTGTTTCCCCTCGCCTCGCCCCCGGGAACGGGAGTAGGCCACCCCCTCCAAGTAGGCTGCTTGCACGGCACAGTTTCTGCCCCTCCTTTCCTTCCCTCTGGCACCCCTGTTTCTCCGAAGTGAGGGACCCACGCTGAACATTTCCTGCCTTCCGGCACGGACCACACTCCCTGGCCTCCAGGGCTCTGGTTCCAGGCCTTTCCACCGCGAGAGCCTCCGTCCCTCTCCTTGTCTGTCCCTTGGGCCTCTGCCCACAGTGACAGGTACCCGACATGAGATCAGGAGTAAGCAGAATGCTCACTGTAATCCTCCGAGGACCCCTCGGGAGGGACCAGGGCTGTGGGCATTGAGCATTCATTCTACAGTTAAGGCGACTGGAAAGCCCCCCTCCCCAGGGATCTCTTGAGGTGACAGGAGCGAGGCACAGGCTGTGTGCGGGTGGGCGGAGAGTCACCTGTTTGTGAGGTTCACGTAGTAAAACTGAAGAGATGGGGGGAGGGAGGTCATGAGAAAGATCCAGAAGGAATGGAAATGGTTAAAGGATACCAAGGGCTCTGGGCAGGAAGGAGTTAATTTGTCCTGGGCAGGTTTAGGGCTTCGAGACAAATGGTACTGGAAGGAAGAAGCTCGTGGGACCCTTTGTTCTTGCCCTCGAGTTTTCTGAAGTTATGGGAACAATATTTTCGGGAAAACGGGAGGGGTAGGGTGGAGCAGGGAGAAGTGGGCTGGACAGTTTGGGGTCAGGGAAAACACTCAGCTGGCCAGCCCCAGCACACCTGCCCCCCACTGCCCTTGAGAAGTACATGGTGCCGGCTAACTCCTGCAGTGAGGAAGCGTCTGGTGCAGGGGTCTGTGTCCGCGGCACATTGGGTGGGCAGGGAACAGCTAGCTGCCAACCCCAGAGGGCAATGCCCTCTTGCCCACTGGCCCTCCCTGGCCCTACTCCTTGCTGCCTGCTCTTTGCTTCCTTGACCCAGTCTGGTCCTAGGCAGACAGAGCAAAGTCTCTGTTTATGCCTATGCCAGGTGTTGGCTGGAGGAGGAGGAGGAGGGGACAGGAAGGCATGAGTAGGGAGGGGAGGACCCCGGCCTTTTCCGTTCCCAAGCTCCCAGGTTTCCTCTCTTTCAGGAAGGAGCCTCTTCCTTGCCACCCCCTTCCCTGACGCCGCTGCCCCCCTTTCTCACTCGGAGAGCAAGTCGAAAGGGCGCTAAGTGGACCAGACTGTACCCCGGGGGTAGGGCAGGGTGAGCCCACCAGGCACCGCTTCTGCTGTCCACCTGGCCAGCACACACGCCTGCCATACCCAGACTAAAGAGGGGCCAGCCCAGGATGGAGTCCACGGGCTGCCAAACTGGGCCCAGCTTGGGGGCAGAGATGAGGTGGCAGTGAGCTGGGCGGGTATGAGGCTGGCATGGGTGACTCAGGGCAGTGGGCATCTGCCCTGAGATCTCTTGGGGGGGCAGCATGGGAAGAAGGGCGGCCCCACTGTGCGCTGGGCACTAGCCTCCTTAAAGCCAGAGGGCCAGGCACCCCGCCCATTCTGACCTGCCAGCTCCCTCTGCCTGGAGCACCGAGCGGGGGGCAGGTGGGCACTGGGCCATCCTTGGGTCCTAGGGGCTGTCCACACCTGACGAGGTAAATTGTTACAGGTTCTCATGAATGCTGGGGCGGGTGGCAGAAGTGGGTGAGGAATGAGTCAGTGCCCGTCACGGGGATGGGGGAAGACGCCAGGCCCAGAGCTGAAATACCTGTTCTGAAATGGCTTCTATGTTTATCTCTCCAGAGAGGAATTTTAAAAGCCTCTCTGCTTCTCTCCCTCCCTCCCCGCCCTCCGTCCCTCTGCGCTCTCGCTCCCTCTCTTCTCTGTCCCTCTTTTCTCTCCTTCCCTCTGCTCTCCTCTCTCTCCCCCCCTCCCTT